ACCTCCCCCTTATTCACTCTGTATGAGAGGCGAAGGCACTCGGATGTCTTTCGAGGCTAGTAACCATTCGCTGGGACAGTGCTATTAAGTTACAAAAGTGCATTAGTTAATCATGGAGGCTACATTTTGAACAAAAAGTATTTTCTAGAAAAAATAGTTTGGTCTTTTTTTGCATGAACTGGTTAAGGTGCCTTACAGCCTATGCTTTTAGCATTAATATTGCTACGTTAGCAGGTCATGCGTTCATCTGATATCCATCAGAATTCATTTATTTTTAAAAGTGAAGCTGTTTTTTCAGTTATGATTATGGAATTGTGATGCATCTGGTGCAAATTTGATGATGACATTCATCGAATCACAAATGCCTGCTTTTATTGCACAAAAATTCACAGCAAATGAGAAAAGCTTTGTTGTGAAAGAAGCTGATAATTTTGCATACACTGATCCGGTAGATGGTTCCGTATCAAAAAAACAGGCAAGTAATTTTTTTTAACACAAATTTTACTTGAAAGTCGATGATCGGCTTTGGCCGGTAAGATACCTTATCGATGTTCTAGGGCTGATAACGTTTGGAATGCATCAAGGGCATCTGGAAATGACTAAAATTTGCTTAGCGCTTCAGTTAGGAGGATTTTTGAGCTGGTAATCCCTTCATGAGAAAAGACAAATCCCTTCGTCAACAGCCCCGATGCTAGGTGATGCGGATTGAGCGTAGCAACTGAAAATTGTTATGTTGCTGATAAAGGGACTCCGAAAGCACAAAAAATTCCATCTGCTTTGGTCCCAACAACGTATGCCTCTAATTTTCAGTTATGGATACCCGAATTTTTTGCCCGAAGATTCATTCAGATCTGAAATTACATAATTTTTCATATCCGTATGCTACCCTCGATTTATTTTTATTTCAGGGTTTGCGTATTTTATTTGAGGATGGCAGTCGTGTTGTATTCCGTCTAAGTGGCACTGGCTCATCCGGCGCCACTATACGACTGTATGTCGACTCATATATTGAAGCTTCTGATCAGCAGCGACTATTTCTAAGTTCACAGGTTTGTTATTGTATGTTCGGGCTGAGATACAACTAAAATCTGCACATTTTCAGAATTTTTTTTTTAAGGCAGCATTTTTTTTTATTCATATAAATACCTTTTTTTTTGAAAAAAATAAGGGGCTTTCCAAGATTTCATGTTCCTGCTAAAGCATTATGATATGAATTTTCTCCGTATTCTTCTGCACACGGCCTTTCAACATTTTATACAGATGTATACCAAATGAACAGTCCTACTATCTTTTCCATCATAATTTATTAAATTAACCCTACCCCTAGGTTAAAATTTTCGGGCTGTGACTGTTCTACATTTCTCATGCTTCGGGCCGCCCGCTTGTTTCAGAGGTCACGGTTCGGTCTACCAAAATTTTTATTAACAACCTTATCCCACCCTTCGTTTTCAGACTCCGTCCGTTCCACGTTTTGACTTTGGGCCGTCCACTTTTTTTAAGATTGCAGTTCGGCCTTCTAACGACGGCCGTAGTTTGTCACTGCGTTTGGAGATACAGCAATCGCCTGTGCAATCACTGTAGGATGTCATGTTAATCCTAGTACCCAGCTGTGCTAGGTCCTTGCGTTCTGAGCTACACACTTCCAATTTGGCAGCAGTGCCTGTTTTAATATTTGTGTGACAATCCTTAGAATATCATTTACTTTCTCGCATGGTCTTAGTGATATCCTGCACACCATTTAAAATTGCTGGAGGTTTTTTGTAAAAGTTTTTAATAAAAAAGGAAAACGGCGGGAATTTCCGATTTTTTTTTGGTAACGACACATTGAAGTTTATATTTTTGGCCTTTTTATACTGTAATTCATATTTTTCAGGATCTTTTAAAGCCGCTGGTTCTGGTGGCGCTTCAACTAAGTAAATTGGAACATTTCACAGGACGTAATGCACCAACTGTTATTACTTGAAACGAAACCTATCCGGTGTCATCGCTCATTTTAGCTGCCATTTGAACGAATTTACTCTCAAAAAACTGGCGTTATAGTAAAGCTAGTTTTCTTCATAACAGTGTATATCTATAGCCAGTGTATCACATAATGATGCAGTTGCTCCTTACGCACTTTTTAACAAAAAAAAGCAATAAATCATTATGTGACAAGTAAATTTTATCAATAACGTGTTAGTAATTATCGTGATTTGTTAAGCACTGTTCACTAATATATGTGCTGCCTAGCAGTAGTTTTCACTGAGCACAGATGCAAGTTTTGTTAGAAACATTCATGATAATTTGGACTATTCACTAATGAATTATGTACTGCCACTTATTAGTCTGATCCGGTGTTGAAATGAGTTTTTTTTTTTTTTGGATAGCTACTGAAGCGGTTTTTGAATTTTTGCAAGGAATTTGTTACAGTGACAGTTATTCATTCACACTTAAAAGAGGTCTTAGGTGTTCATGCTTGGTACTTTTTCCCTCACCTACGTCGAATATGCCGTTTGATAATGAACAGATCATCCTATCCTGTGAAATTAACTCGTTCCCAGCTTGAAAGGAAGAAAATTTGATGAGCTTTTAAAGGTCAGTTAGTCTTGACCGTTGTCCACTAATTGGATCATTGGTAGCAGATTCTCAAACAGTAACTAACCTTTTGAAGATTATGCTTGAGCCAGGCCTTTTTCCTGCGCACTCTTTTAGCTTCTTGGTCATTTTTTGTGCCTTCTGAGATTGCTAATTTTCGCTTTCAGATCTATTTTTCGCTTTTTTTCATAATATTATATTAGAAGATTTATGCTTTGTATTTTTTTACTGTGCGAAAATTACGTGCACTTTATGGTTCGGTGTTACTTTCCAGTGATTTTAGAAGTAACTCTTCAGTAAGTACGCTTGGCTTTCGGATGGATGATTATA